GCGAGAATTGATTGTAATTTCAACAAATAAAATAAAAAAAAAAAAACAAATATTTATTACTTGCTTGCGACTGTCTAATGTATCTAACATACATTTGAAATTATTATATATTAATAAGTGTTTTATATTCTACAAACATCTTTTTCTTTGTATAATATAATTAATTATTTTACTTCTTAATCAAACAATACTTTTCAGTTAATTATCTTACGTTATAAGTATATCTGTCGTAATTTTATGTAGTTTCTTAATGAACGCATAAAATAAACAAAAGTACAAAAAGAAAACGGGTTATCAAACTCATTTGCAAACTCTTTCCATTTGCGCGTTCCGTTCTTAACCCGCGGTCACCCAAACTTTGTTTTCCTAATTTACTGTATGCTAACATCATCTCGTTCGGTGATATCAAAGCAAAAGTGATGATTAATTGGCGAAGAAAACTTGCCCGTCTATATTATAAATAGATAATACTGGTTATTATTTACGTCAAAAAATGGACATAATGCTTATTTCTGAAACTCGTTTTATAAACAATGATTACTTTAAAGTCAATGGTTACAATGCCTATCACACTCAACTCGCCAGTGGCAGGGCACATGGCAGATCAGATATTATCATAAAATCCAATATTAAGAACTACGAACGCCCACCATAAAAAAAAGGTTCACCTCCAAGCAACTAACATTATGATTCAAAATTGGCTTAGTCCGTTTACAATATCTGCTATATATGTCTTTCGAGGTACATTCTATTAAAAGAGGATTTTGATCATTTTTTTAAAAGTGTGGTTTACAGGTTTATAGCAGGGGTGATTTTAATATTAAACATATTCACTGGAATAGTAGAAACATCACTCCAATGTAGATCACTATACAAAAGTATTTTATGAAATAAATTAAATTACATTGATACAGGTGGCCTACGGACGCAAACAAGTTACCCGAATTACTGGACTTCTTCATAATCAAATCTATCTCCAAGGTATATTAAACTTAATTCTTCCCTAGATTCGTCTTCAGATCACTTACCGGTTTATGCAGCAGTCTGCTCTACATTTATTGAAATTCTACCTGCTATCCATATTAATTAACTAGCTAGTCTCATTTTAGAGAATCTTTCAACATTTCAACATCAACGTTAGTACCACTAAAAGTGGAAGAAGATATAGATGCAGCAGTTGAGTATCTGGCGAACAACATAATAAATGCAGCTCGTTCTTCTATTCAAAAGCTAGAGTATATAACCCGGCACGAGTATCCAGACGCTATAAAGAAAGAAATTGAAGATAAAAGGAAGCTACGAAGATTATGGCAAAATAGCACATACCCAAGCGGAAAGTAAACAACGCAACCAGAAAACTCAGAAAATTTCTACGAAAGTTCAGAAATAAATGTTTTCAAAAATATTTGAAGAACTTGACTCCCACAATATATTACAAACTACTCTCTCTAGAAAGCTGCGAAGAAACTCAACAAACCGTAGCAGGTAATTCCTCCCCTTCACTCTCTTTATGGTTGTTCTCATAGACAAGGCCAACCTATTCGCTTCTTATCTAGCTACCGTATCCAAATCATTTCCTCTCAAATCCACTTCGCGCGAAACCGAAATATTTGAATATCTTCAATCGTCAAGTCGAGCCTTTCCCCCTGTTAAGTCTTTGTCTTCCCAGGAAGTGCCTCTTTGAAAGATAGAGTAAGACAGTTCTACTGGCTCATAGGTAAGAGTTCGAAAGTAAATCTAGAAAGCAAAATGATATTATACAAAGCCATCCTAGAATTTGTATGAACCTATGTGAACTTTCAACTGTGAGGTACAGCCAATAACTCTAACATTGGCATCCTATAGCGATTCCAATCGAAAACGTTTATCTGTAATGTCCCTTGTTACATAACCGATGAAATCACATATAGAGAGTTATATATATGTCGGAGATGAAAGAACAACGGAGCCTTTGGAATTTTGGATAATCCCGCAACATTGTAATCTAGAGTCTACTATAGCTGTAATTAAACAATTGTAGTTATTCAATCCGATTGTAATTGTTCGCGAGTTGTGATAATGAGCTTGGGCTCGAGGTGACAGCCAGTCGCCAAACGTAGCCGCGGTCATGGGATGAACGCTTTGTCTAACAAAGGTATGGAGTAATTCTATAGCTCTTCTTAAAAGAAATATTTGTGGCGGCACGACAGTACGACCCTATTCTTCGAGCAAGATGATTGCCAGATGTCGATGCGTCTCCGAAGTACATGTTCAGCTAGCCTGAGGGCCCGTTATAAATCTTAGGATTTAGTTGACTAAAGTCCTTCGAACAAACAGTCTTTGTTCTAGCTACGGGAAGATAGGAGAGACCTATTTTTCAACGAACGGCGTCTCCCACTAGCAACTTTCTCTCGAGGGCGGCTTGCATCTTTTTCTAACCACCGATATGGAGATTGACCAATTAGCAGCAACGCCAAATTCCCTCACCTTCTGAACGAAGGGTATCCTCGACGAATCCGATGATCTCGTGTCCCCAGACACACCCCATCATAGTTGTCCTTCCTCTGCAGCAGCATCGCGACGGAGAGTCATTTTCTCGTGAGGTCGTATTAGCGAGTTACTTGGAGTCTATACGCTCGGTGGATATTCCTCGTTTTCGCAAAGAATCCGACTTAGATTTTTGTGAGCACGTACATCTATCATCCCGTCGACCGCGGATTCGTTATTGAACCTAAGACCAACATCACTAGTATCGCGAGTGTCCAACCGCCGCGGTTGATTGTCGAGTCGGTAGCATCCATACTCGTATTAACAGACCGTACCTTCGTTATAACACGACGATGGCCGATTCCAATGCAGATTCATCAAACGCCCACAACCTTATTCCTGATCCTTCTCCGACATATATATAGAGTTGGTAAAATACCAACAGTTAAGGGAGAAATTTCGAAATTCAATAACCGCTGCAACATACACTTGATTAAACATTCCAATCCTCTAGTCAGCCTTTCTATTCAATTAAACTTTCAAGTTCCTTACCTTACCTTCAACTCGTTCGAATTAAAGTAGCAATTTTGAATCACGTTACTAATGTAAACTTACTAGTTACTTGATGTAAAATATTTTCTCAAGTTTCTAGGTTGGTCCTCTAATGAGATAGACACAGACACAGTCACAGACTCAAGTCACAGGATATGACACAATGATAACATTGTAGTTAATCTTGCTACGAAAGTGACACAATTTAAAACAATTAGTTTTTGAAAAAAAAACTATATTTATATTGTAGTAAGGAGAAAAAACCGTTGGGGAAATCTCGATGAACTACAGGTAAAAAACAATAAAACTGCTGACAGATCGGGAATGAAGGGAAATCCCGATGGGCTATATACCCGTGCCCCTTTAAGATACTGTGAGGTTAAAAGAAAGATGTACTTGACCAACAACAACTCTTGGGCTAACAGCTGTAAAACACTTGTCGTTGTAGGAGTATCGAAAACTGTGGTATAAAGAGGACGTTTTTTTAGAGAGAGTAGTCAATAGTATCCGGCATTACGTCGCGTCCTCTCCCCGGGGAGCGCGGGATGCCTATAAAGGTTCTCTCGATGTAAAAAAAAAAAGAAAAAAAGAGAGAGTAGTGAACAGTTGCAGTTGGACTTACGATTACTTGCAGTTGCGAGTAGTTGCGAGTTAATTGTTACTCATGAGTTGTAAGCTGTGTTGTTAATTGTCAGTTGTAAGTTGAGTTGTGAATTATCAATTTAGTCGTCTTAGTTATGTCACATTACTACATTAAGTTCTAATTAAATAGTTATAGTTCCCTGCTTCAATCACAATAAATGAATCTATATAATAAATAAAGATCACTATAATCCTGATCTCTATAATATATAAGTATATTATATGTAGTTAGAACTCGATCTAAATATAATAAAATATTACTTTTTTAACCAAATTTATCAACTAGAAAGACAATGCTTATAAACCAAAATCAAATATCATTTTTGTAATCTTCAATTTATAATCCTAAACAATCTTAAAAGATAATAATCTGAACTCTAATTCATGATAATAATTTGAAAAATAAATTAATTTTTTGTGCTTTTGTGCTCATTTTTGAAATAAGGGTGATATATTGTGCATATCATTTCGTTCAATCATTTTAGAATATTTTCTAATTATTATCTTTTTTGTTCAATATTTATAGTATACTATTAACCACTGAAGAAATTAATATAATGAAAGTGTGTTTTAAGCTACTAACCAGTGAATTGTAATGTGGCTGGGTTGTGTTAATGTTAACTGGTATGGACGGCATATAGTGATGGGATCCCATACTCATTTTCCCCCCAGCTGATCCATTTGCCAAAAGACTATGCGCTGCTGGAGAGGCTACTGGTTTGTTTTGTGTTGGCGTTTCTATAATTAACAAAAGTCACTTACAGTACTTATTGAATATCAAAAGTATAAGTAAAAAATATATTACGTGAAATAGATATAGAACAAAATAGTTAAACAAAATAAAGCATTATTTTAAACTCACACAGATATTATGTTTTTGCTGTAGTTACATAATAGGAAGTGAGTAATACCTGATCTAAGGCCAGGCTCTGTCATAACTTCAACGTAGGAGATGGGGAATATTCCCTTTCTATTTCCGATACGTCCCTCATACCAGTTTTCATCAACTCTTCTTGTTAAGACCACAAATTCCCCTAAAAGAATAATGGTTTTGTATTGATGATGTACTGATTCCGGAAATTTTTCGTTACATCAATATAGTGCGCGTTGGTTAAATAAAAATACATCTTTCCTACATTGTCACTTAAATACTGATCACGTAAAAGCAGATATGTCTTTTTGCATTAATATTCAGTATAAATTTTTGCTGCTGAGATATGTTGATATATTTTTTATATTTACCTTTGGCTAAAGATAATTCGAGATTTGTTTGGGCGACGAAATTGAATTTAGCTCGTGCTTGACCCTCGTAAGGTTTTTTTGGGGTCGTGCGCATACCATCGTAAGGTAAAATCTGTAATTTAAAAGATAGTGTTATTTTTTTATAAGTCGACATTTTTCAAATATTATTACTGTTCATCATAAAGTGATTTACAAGATATATGGGCGCGAAATCTTACTAGCAAAAGCTAAAGCTTAACTGGAAAAAAGTAGAAAAAAGGAAATAGATTGTCAAGATTAGAAAAATAGATAATCTTATCGTTAACGTTATCTTCTTTTTACATTAAACTTCAATTAATATTATTGAATCGTAGGCGATTCACAAGAAGGTGTTAATTATGTAATTTTAAAGCATTTTATATTAATTTGTGTAAATATATCAAACTATAAACTACAACTACAAATAAATAAACTAATCCTAACTTTTATCACCAATAACTCAGTGATAGTAATTGAGAATTAATATAACATTTTTGACTTTTATAATTATTGAGCTAACTATAACATGAAGGTATTTTGTACATGTGTGTACTAACAAACAGCTTTATTTTAAGAATTCTTCGTTGTAATGTAATATTATCAATGTTTAATAAACATGAGTGTATAGAATCTAATACCAATATTCAATATATATACAATAACTCTCAAAACTGTTGCAATGATTCGTATTATGAGATAAAAATTCAATAAAAATCAGAAAAACGCTATTGAGAAAAGAAGAATTTTATTGAAAATTCCAATAATCAACTGTCCTGTTAATATACTTTTCAGCGAATTGTAATCCTAGTTTTCGATGTCTTGTGGTATACAGTGGGTTTTCTACTTTAACACGTATTATATAAACTTCTGGTGTTAAACCTTTACGAACAATATGGGCACTAACGTCCACTCCAAAACAGTTTTTAACAGTTTTTACCGGAATTCTCATTATTTTGACCAAGCTTCTGCGGTCATGCTCATTCGATTTTCGAGAATGACCATCCAATGAATTGCTACAATCTGATAGAACTTTCTTTCAAGTTTCTTAGCTACCTATCTCATTGATAAATTTTGTTTAACACTAGATTTACGGGGCGCGTCATATTGACGCATTTAGAATTTCATGAAGAAAATGATAGAGACAGTTCGCATTTTTCTTCTACAACTTATACCAACTTTTATCCATTTAAGGAGGTAATATATGTCGTAATTTATTTTTTTCAAAGCTTTCTAGTTCTGAAGTTTCCTATGTGATATATCTATCTCTGCGGATACGTGTCAACTTGATACAATCATAAAGTAAGCATCAATAATAGTAAATTGGTATCACTCACCAAGGTATTACTGCAGTAATAAATATAAACTAAAAGAGTTACTGCAAAAAGAGTTAGTTCTTCAAACAGGTGAACGTGAAAAGTAAGCATAAACAACGCATATGTCCGTAGAGATAGGTATATAAGAAATGTCTATAAACAACAGAGATGGACAACGTTCTTTTTCTTTATCTATGCGAATCGAGCTCATGGCGTTTAATGAACATTTTCCCGTGGGAAACCGTTCTGCTTTTAATGGCAACATACGCATGCGATGTGCATCTAATACAAATTTGACTTTCTTAATGGAAAATTGTAAAATATAGCATAATGTAATACAATGATACAGTGCAAAAGTGTTGAAATGCGCTTCTAAAACATGAAACATTATATTTAACTTTAAAAACGAAATTAAATTTTTATTTTCTGAATATGTAAAAGCATAATAGTGTTATATTAATTTGCAATACAATCCGATCTTGATCAACAACATATATTTTTCTTGAATCTGTAACTCATAATGTCAATCATTGTAACAGTTTTGAGGGTGACTCTAAGAATTCAGAATCTCTTTCGTAATTCTTTACGATCGAATAATACTACCCGCAAACGAGCATGACGTGGTTCCTTATAAAAAAAAAATAATAAGAAAGTATAGAATACAACTAGTATAATAATTCTTTAGAATTATACTATCCACACGGATTTCGATTTTTTAATATGTTGTCAGAAACATGATTCTGAATAACTTTTGCCTCTACTTGTTACTGTACCTTGGCTTTAGTTTCCGAGATATTCGCTAAACCTATCAGTACCATTACACTGAATTATTCCTATAATACGTTCGTGACAGTGTATGAGTTAGCATCGGTTGCTGACCACCTCACGGCGACCGGTTAAAATAATATCAATCCCAAACTTATACAAAGTTTTATAAAAAAAATCGAGTTTGAAAATTTGTTGAGTGTACTCTAACTTGGCTAAGTACCAACTAGGTATATAATAGGTCAAAAATGTAAAATAACATTTTTCAGTTAGGCTTCCTGGTAAGCCTCATTTTCAAGGAAATACGCATGTTTAATTACGGACTAACGGTACACGCGCCTGATACATTTTCAAATTTATTTTTCTCAGAAACGCAGCATTATTTGAAAAAGTTTTATTCTGCAACTTCATTTTCAAAGTAGTAGGTAGAAACTCCTGTCGACTATTTACTTATGTTGAGTCCGGTATTAGCAAAATTTAAGTAAACCTGACAAATCTTTAAATTCGATTTTCTCGAAAACGAAACCTCAGACGAAATTATTTTATTAGGCTAAATTTTTTCTTATTTTTTCACATAGGATCACCATCTGTTGGGCTATACTACTGTGACCGTCCCACCGTGTATATGTACATATAACACTTATTATGCTTGTATACAACATCCGCGTGGCATTTATGAGCTGTTAGATTCAAGAAAGCGCAAGCAATTTTCGATATCTCCACTGTAAACTAATTTAAGTAAAAAACCAAATAGTAAAGTCGCGTAAATGAAACATTAGAAAAAGCGACTGCATATACAAGCAGTGAATTTTCAATTTCGATTTTCTCGAAAATTAATTCTTGGAAACAGCTAAACTAGTAGCTGTAGCTTAACTACAGCTAGAAAACAATAAAAGTGCTAGCGGGCCGGGAAGGATAGAAAATCGCGATGGGCCATATGCCCATGGTCCCTTAGTACATTAAGTAATTAAAAAAGGTGTACTTGACCACCTGAGGTCAACAACTGCAAAACACGTGTACGTTGTAGTAATATCGAAAACTCTGGTATAAAAAGAGACGTGTTGGAGGAGAAAGCGTACAGTTAGTAGTGAATAGTTGTAATTGTAGTTGTAGTTGCGATTGACTTGCGACTAGTTGCAGTTGCGAGGAAGCTGCGAGTAGTTGCCGGTTAATCGTTATTCATGAGTTGGTCGAGTCGTTGTGAGCTGTCGAGTTATTGTGAGTTGTGAGTTGTTAGTTGTAAGTTATAAGTTGAGTTGTGAACCATCAGTTTAGTTGTCTTTAGTTGTATCACATTACTACATTAAATTCTAGTTAAATAATTATCGTTCTCTGATTTCAATCACTGCAAATAAATCTATATAATAAATAGAGATCACTAGTAATTCTGATTGCTATACAATTATCTCAGATTCGCTTATACATGTTACTTGACCAGTCCCTGTATGAACAAGTATTTGATCAAAATACTAATTTAATAAGAACCTCTTTGTTTGTGATGCATACTATAGTACAATTGTATTGTATACCAAGAAGAAAGAGTAATATAAAGGTTAATGTTTTCCAAGTGAAATTACCTCAACGTAATTCGATGGGAACAGGCCAATCATAGCATTATGTTCACCCTCGTACCAGTTCTTGTCTACCTGGCGACGTACAAATATTATGTCACCGCGACGGAAATTTAATTCCCGTGGAGATTGCCCGATAAAATTATAAAGTGCTTTTGCCACGAGCCGCGGTTCCGGTGTTTGCTCCTGGGATCTGCTTCTGTGACTCAAATCATCCACGAAATCGTCGTAACGATTCAAGGGAATCGGTGATTTTTGTGATGGTCTGAAATCATTTATTATAAAAAATAAAACACATAAAGAAATATGAGGAACTTTAATCTTCCATTATCTGAATGCTCTAATATTCGAACGTTCTACACTATCCGAGAATTCTGTTACATTTTTTCAACAGAATCCCTACTAGTAACGGACTACTAGTCTCTTCCTGCTACAGAAATTATTATTATGTACAAAAAAAGCAAGAAACGTTATTCTATGCGCAAAGGCAAGAAATATTATATAGACTCATATATATTTTTATAAAAAGATGGAATAACAACAGATTGATTTATCATTCATATCAACGAGATAAATAATTACTTTCAATTTCGTAATAACAGAACAAGTAATGTATATACTTTATTACGGCGTGAATTATTATAAGAAAGATTTTTATGTCAATCTAAAAAATTATAATTGAACGATAACTTATTTCGATTCTTCACCTCCCCTAGGGTTTCTTTTATTTAATTTTAGCATAAAGCTACCTTAAATTTTCTAATAAGATTCCATGTATGAAAGTAAAGGAGAGTGAAATGAGAGATTCTGGAAGGATTGTATCTGCTGAGATTAAAGATTTAAAAGATAGAAATAAAGAATAGAAATTATTTCGTTATAAACCTAAAGCACTATTGAAAATTATTATATAAAAATATACGAATGTATTGAAATGTATAAAAAATGCATCATTTAATCTGAAAAATAGAATATTTTACTTTTTCCAATTATGATTACTATTTAAGATCAAGGCATACAAATTAAAAGAGTTCAAATCTACTTTTATTCTATATAATTACTCTTTTTACTTTGTAAAGTAAACTCTAACAAAGTTTCTTTTATTAATAGAAATTGCATGTATGTTTTTATACATGTTCATGTATTAATTGCATGTAAGGCTGTATGGCCTTACGATATTATCTCTTTATCCTCGTTCTGAACAATTCATAATTCTTATACAATATTTATAGGAAATGACTATACATCTGAGCAAAGTGAAAATATATCAGTTACTTAAACAGGTAATATTTTACAAAGAAGATTGTTTTCTTCGTCTCATTGAATCGTAATTTTATGTTGAAAAAATATACATACAGAGTTCTATGTGACTTAGGCTACTAGAGCCCTATACGCGTGTACCACAATGACACATATGTGTTCTTAAACGCAAAATAGGTGCTGGTTGGTGCGACTATAAATGAATAAATAATAACGATAGTAATAATAATAATAATAATAATAATAATAATAATAATAATAATAATAATAATAATAATAATAATAAGTAATTTATTGAATAGAAAAATAGCTAAATACAATAAGGATTAAAAATAAAATATTATTATGAAAAAAATATTAAAACGATGATACAAAGCCGCAAGTGCACAATTTAAACAAAGTCGTATAATTTCAATGGAGGTCGATATTCAATAACAATATTTTTTTTATTAGTGAGATATAACTCTCTAGTTATAAATTACATAATTGAATAATAGTTGAATAGAAGTACTTATTTCATTTTTTTAATTTTACTAGCAATATTTAAATTTCAAATATTATGAATTGTTCATGGTATTTCTTGCATATTTTCTTTGCCGTCATAATTGAATCAAGATATTGGACTAAAAGTATGTTCAAAATTAATATAGTTCAAAAAAGATTTTTTCACACGTGTAAAAATACATATGCATAACACAATTTTCTAAACCATTGTTTCATTCTTTCTTTACACGGATCGAGTCTTTACATTATTTTGAGTAAGAAATTGAGAATAGTGTAATCGATTAATAATCAATTCGGTGAAATATTTTTAAGAAACGCTATATGGCAACATTTTAAATATTTCTTATGTTACTTGTTCATTATTTTCATAACCAGATTCGTACACATTTTATCGTTCAATAATAATTCATATAAAAACGCAGTAGACCTGCGGTAATTGTAGAAGTTATAACACATAGTACATTTTATGGCAATTCGATAATAAAATTAATGATAAAGTAGCATACATATTTTTGAGACTACGCACGGCGTGGATCTTGCGGCCCAGCATCCGCTCGATCTAGCAAAACCAATATCGTTTCAGCATACGAAACATTCAACAATGTTAAAAAATCGTCTAGTGTTCCCGATCGTAAATATTCTTTCATCATTCGGAGAGACTCAGAAATGTTTAAGCTTTTAAACAATACATAACTATCTCAATAGTTGACAATACGCATCTTCTCATCGTTTGCAGAGACTTTCTTCATTAATCGTTTGATAAGCTAGTATCGGGTTAGGTGTTCTACCCTTATTTCTTTTATTAATTTTAATATTAATTTGACAGGGAACAAAGTACAGTATCATCATCATCGGGCACTATATACGGACATACGTGTATTAAATTCTGAAACTCTGAACGTTTACATACGAAATTCTATATATAAGTAAATTCAAGTAAAAAACTAATATTGTAATATTGTAAAAAATATAAGAATGAAATGCTTCTAATAATAATTATTAATATATTTCGATTTAATACGTAAACAAATTATCGTACAAACAATAGTATCTAGTATTTCAAAATTAATGAAATTTTTCAAACTAAGTGTTTACGGTCCTAAACTTATATCAAGTGCGTTATAAGACTATTGTGATTAAGCTATGTATGTACATATGTATTGTGATGTATGACGTAATATAAAGTTATTTTACATGGGTGTCATAATAAAAGCGTGATTCACATGTATGTATTATATAAAAAAAGTACAAAAAAATTGAAGAACAATATTATTTTTTATGATTTTCTTTAATCCTCTTTCATTTCTTCTTAAACTCTTCAGGCACTTTAATTGACAATAACGAAACAGAGGGAACATAAGTCTCAAATTTTATAAAAAATATATCTGCAATATACGTGAAAATAACTATAAATTATATATTAGAATTATTATGTAATAGTAAATTATTATACTAAAAAATAAATTTTAGTTATCCCTTGTCAATATTGTATTCATTATACAAATAAAGTAAAAGTAATTATTACGCTAAAAGACTAACATTATAAAATTGAATAATAGTATCAAAATATTTCTCAAAAAAGTAAAAGATAAAAAATGTAAGTACATATTCTTCATAACGAAGAGTAAGCATTTTTATGTATAAACTGTTTATAACAAATCTGTGTTTACTGTACACTAATTAATATTTTATTTTTATTTTTACTTACATTATATTTAGAAAAAGAATTACAATAATGATATATATATATATATATATTATATTTATATATTATATAATA